TAATTGCGTGAAAAGAGTTTAAATATTCACATCACGGAAGTAAAACTATTATATATATATATATATGTATGCATGCTGTTTATTTTCCCACTGTGTATGATGATGGAAGTTTTATTCTTATAAATATACGTATTATTTTGATATCGTAATTTTGTTAAATCTGGTATAAATGGTGTGGTGGTCAATTATATACATACGTACATATATATATTCGTTTAGTAAACGTTCGTATTACATAATCGCACGCCTAAATCAATTAAGAGTATATCAATTGGTTGAACAAATTAATGTTGGTAACTCATTGTCATTTACGACCAGAGTAACGCGATGCCTAATATTAAAGGAACAAATCGGAATAAGAATTTGCTTGCTCCAAATTTTTCTTGAATAATCTAAATCCTCTTAAAACACCAACTAAGGTGTCTTCCTCCATCTTGGATTTTGAAGTAGCAGATGACAATAGGTCTAGATCTTTAATGAAATCTGCAAATTTTGAGAGCAGTATGTAATTCATGTGTAAGACTTTTCATGTTAATATAGAAAATTATGTGTTTTATCATATTTAAGGCTGTATTTTCTAAAAAACACAATATTTTTTGTTTCATTTATTTTTTTCAACTTTGCCACATAAGGGGAGAGAACACAGATCGTATGGGAGATAACTCAGATAAAGTAATTTTCATAATAGAAAGTGTTGTGAATTTACCTATTTTAATATGTAGCAAGAAAACAAGTCCGGTGACCCCATTTTTCTTTTTCTTATCTGAAAGCATGTTATAAGAGCTATCTTCTCACATTTTATCTTAAAATTCTATGGTGCAGTTTTCTTTTTATCACACAAAATTGGATTTTCCATGCATAATCTATACAAAATCTGATAATTTTGCAGAACCTGTAGCGTGAAAAAAAGTTTGGTGACCCATACTTTTTATCAAATTTTGGAAAAAAGCATGATAAAAACTACATTTTGACAAATTATTAAAAAATTCTAAGGATTTTAATTGAGACCCCCTATCCACCTTAAAGTATGTATAATTTCAATTCTAATATGACGTTCTTCGAATGCTTCGAGTACACACCAGTAGTAAAATTCGAATATATTCATATGTCAGCTGATAGGCAACGTCATGATTTATTTGAGCTGTTCCAATCCTACTCCCACGTCGTTTGCTTTTTATGAACGATTTACCTCACGTCAGATGGTGTAAATGACGTCATTGAACGATGAAATAAGAACGTAGGATTTTACGGGAAAATGGACGAATGGGAAACTGAAAGTCGTCAAAACATGAAAACAAACAAGTGATGGTAAGAATTTGTATAATGTCCATATCTTCTTAAATGAAAGTAAGATAGTCAATTAACTTCATCCAAATTTGTCTTAGTTATTGTATATCGTTTAAGAATGTCACTTATTCAATTTTTTTCGCCGTTTACGTTAACATTAATAGTGTGTTCAGTTACGGGAACAGCAAACATTTCCCTTCACATAGAGCGCTTCGATCCAAAAGAATTGCTGTCTTTGTCCTTTTAGAATAGAAATAATTCATGGGGGCTTGAATTTATATTGATTTTACCACGGGTTGGCCCTTTATGCTGACATTTTACCCCTCGCTGTTGCTCGTGGTAAAATATTTAGCATAAAGGGCCAACCCGTGGTAAAATCAAGATAAATTCAAGCCCCCATGAATTATTTCTTAAATAATTCTATTTGTCCGTAAACAGTTATGGTGCAGCCATTTGAAGCACCAAGACTATTCTATTGCATTCATGCTGTCCAGCATATAATTATCACATTCTTTATGCGTGCAGCCAGATATACCCAAAACGATGCAGGCAATTGTGATATGGATTGGAGACCTCATAGTTGTAACCCATAACAATGTGTTTTAGTCAGTGGGCTATGTTTATGTATATAATATTATATAATTTACGCGTACATACTGGACTTTAGGGTATTAAAATGATGTAAATGGAAAGAAATAGGATTATTCATACAATAGGAAAATCACTCACTAAGTTCAAAGATTTTAAGTTAGTTTTAGATCCAAGACGGAAAAAGCCTTGATTATCCGCAAATTTGATATAATTTATATCTATAACTAAGGGAAGTAAATTAATCAAAATGGCCGAAGTCATGTGGTGCAAATTCTATGGATAAAGTACTTAGGATTTTGTCATATGCCACAAAAGTTAAAACTCTGTATTAATCAACCATTTTTGACTTGCAGCACTTCATCAGCATGGTTATATTTGTCATTTAATGCAAAAATGTGTTAAACAACATGTAGTATTCAAAAGATTTTAGATTCAAGATTTAGATAAGTTCTATAACTTCATTTAAATTGGAATTTTAATTAAACCTTTCCTTTATTATTTCCTATTACATTAATTGCAATCTTTAATTCCTTTGGATTGACTTATTAATCAAACTTCACTTAAAATTGTAGCTCCCTACCTGGCCGTGCTAGTTATAAACCCTCTTTCCCACCCATTTCAAAGTTATATTGTTTATCCTTCCAAAGATTTCCGACTTTTTAATATATTTCTTCTCAGGTTATTGTTGGTTGTGTTACATTGATGTATCATTAGAATACAGCTTGTCAACGTTTGCTGTCATATTGTCTGAACAAACAGTTGGATTATTGTTAAAAACTTCTTTTAGCGGATATTTACAAATATGGTGTGTCATTCTATGGACAAATGCTTAAATATGACTATTTACGAAATGGGAAGGATGAAAAAATCGCGTTTTAAAAAGAATTTGATAGAAAACTGAAGAAAAGAGATGAGATAGAAGTTATTTACCCTGAAAATTGAACCTGCAAGGTGTTTCCCCTCTATGCAGACAAATCATGAAAAATCTCTTCTTGTATTACTAGTTTTTACGAAATTCGTTATTTTTTACAGCATCATACTACGGTTACTCTTCCGATTTTCAAACTGAAAAGGCCGAAAGTTTTCAAAGGAGACAACTTTTATTTGTACACGAATCGAACGCCAAAAAAAAAAAAAAAACCTATGTACAATTCACCTTTATGCGGACAAATTGATGATGTGACTTAGGAATTGGCATATTTGAATATGTTTTTAAGGCATGTATAGTCCAATGAAAATGGCTGTCGTCATGATAAAGCAATATGACCGCTATGAAATTTGCAAAGTACGCACAATTTTGCCATATGGTGTTTTTAAAACATGTTTTTAATATAAAACTATGAATAGAAATAATTCCACTTAAATAGACGTTTAGTCTTAATCCATTATTATTTTATCCTTTTTTTATCAGTTCTGTGTAATATAATAAATAAATAAGCAAAAAAAAAAAAAGAAAATGTGGTATGATTGGCAATGCAACAACTCTTTACCAGAGATCAAATGACATAGAAGTTAGCAGCCATTGATCACCGTTCAGCAATCAACAACGAGCAAGCATTTCAAGTGATGAAATAGAAATAACAACTAAAAACTTTATACGTAATCAAACGTTACGCGGTTTGATATTTTTTCAACGCTGTATTGTCATCGATATATTTAATTTAGAAACTGATAACTCTTGCATAAAACGGATAACGACATGAAAAATGTTTTGAAATTTTAGAAATTGCCAAAACTAAACCTCAGAAAGTTTGGTCGGCGGTCTGACCTCGGATTAAAATCATAAATTTCTTGCTGACAAGTAGAACCGGTTCCTTTTCCCGATGTTATGACGATTTGAAATATTAACCAAAATCTCACAAATACTCCCTATTTCAATTACATTTTATGTTGAGACTTGACAGCTGTGAGGAGTGTTAATTTTGTTTCTGAATTGTTTCTTGAGCGGAAGTATCCAACCAACCGCTGTAGCTACCTAATATATCTTCCTGTATAAGCAAGCAAATTTGACGCTTTTTCAACATTATGTGACGTTTTTGTTTTTCAAATTTGGGGTAATCCTTTTGATAGTTTCACTGTGCAGTTATAGTAACGGGCTTAAATCGACATATGGTTAGATATACAAACGAGGAAGTGGTTAATCGGACCTAAAACTGAGGAGGCACGACTGAAATCGATACTGTATAAGTTTTATTGTCAACACCACGAACTGGTTGACTGACAAAATGTGTTGCTGTCTCAACTCACTAGTGACATGTTTTCGTAGTCTAAGATCTTAAGATACCTGTAAAGTTGTAATTTAACCGATTGTGTCCTATTCCCGATTGTAACATTTTGACTGAGTGAATTCGCATAGGGCTGATACATGCTTAGCAAGAGACGCTTACCCCGTCGACGCACCTTGTTTCACTCATTTTGGAGTTAATGCGATTCCCTTAGTTTTTGTTTGTTACCTTGATTTGTCTCTTTCTAATCGATTTACGAGATTTTAACATCGGTAAACTACTGTCGCCTTAATTTAAAAGGGTAGGCCTGGGCAACCCCTAAATTTTTCTCTCGTTTAATTTTCTAAAATTTTCACCATTGAAAGGGTATGGGTCCATGCATCATCTGCCAAAGTCTTGCTGAAATTCACTGTTGCATTTTTATGTTTATGATATATTGAATATGACCAATTTTTGGGTTCCATAAAAAACGGTCGAAAAAACTAGTATGCCTATATGATTGTGTGTTTTTGCACATGTTTTCAGTAGGAATACCCCTGACTGTTAAAATGTGTAGTAGAAACATATTTTAATGTAAATCTGAAATGTCATGGTAATATTTGTAGCCTGAATGTAAATAAATAGTTTAAACCCATTGAATAAGTCGAAAGTTCTAGCCAGTTCAGATAACATATTATTTTATCAGAAATTTGTTTATCGTTTAATTCCTGCAAAAAATTGTCAAAACAATAATTGTTTATTAGCTTTGAAAATCACCAAATTTATTAAATTTGACCGTTTGAAATTTACAGACATATGAAAAAAAAGTTCTTTTTGCTACCTAACCTTCTATTGTCTCTTTTTGCATTATTTTTGTGTGTTTATGTGAAAATTGTAAAGTCTCAAATATAACTGTAGTCAAGTTTATAAGGAAAGTCAATAATATTCAGTATGGGACGATTACCCTTGGGACGAATTGACATATCTACATTAAAATAGATAATATTGGTTTCCTTCCCCAATGCTTCAAAATGACCCTGTCAACGGACGTTCACAGGCCTACCTAACTTCCGGATAGACGCCATGTTGGAGAATACCGGTCATGTTCAAAGACGTAAGTGGTCAATTTGAAAGTCTGATTTAAGAAAATCGAGCAACCCAATATTATATTTGAATAGTGTTTATGGTACAATGAATTGAACAATTTGATGTTATCATATTTTGATAATTGATATTTCTTTTTTTGAGAAAAACTTCGATATTTCTAAAAATGATGCGAAAACACATGTCTGGTAAAACCAAGTCTTGGTTTTATGAATTTTTGACAATTGTTCTTTTTTGGATAAGTGATTTTTTTAAAATTAACTTCCGATGAAAGCTTAATAGGTTTTCGAATGTTAATAGAACATCATTTCAGATCGGATGCAAATTATGCATTTTGAAGCACATGTTATGCCTCTTCATCGTTATTCAAATGAGCGACCATAACCAGTTGTTTGTGTACTTCAACGCATGATGTATCATTGAAAACGTGTAAGCATTGTATGGCATTAATAATTGAATATATCTGTTTTAATTACTACCTTGTATAAAAAAATATTTATCTGACCTGATTTGACATGTAAATAATTAACATGTCAATAATTAACATACATCTTGTATCAAGGATCTGTATGTTAGTCTTTTTTAATTTAGACTCTATAGTAATAGTGTTCAAATATATGTACATTAAATAAACTTATTAAGGATGTTCGCTCCTCTTGTTTTTGAATTTTTGTCAGATATTCGAAATCCTCTGGTTTTATCCATCTAGTACCCATTAAAAAATTTGACCATTAAGCCCTACTTTTCTTTTCATAATTTTATTACATATAGTTTAAAAAGTCATATTTGAAAATCTTATAAAAACCTTGTTATTTTTTCATAGTTTTTGAAAGAAAATGCTGCCAATGTTAAATTTATGAAAAGTCTAGAGAGAATCATTTCCCGCCAAATTTTCAATGGCTTATATCTCAAAAACAAGCACACGGACCTATCATTTTTTTTCTTCTTTTTAAGTTCCGTTATAAATATACTATCAATTCATAACAGTCTTTTAAAAAGCTTATTATTTTGAAACAGAGTAGCGAACATCCTTTATCTATGGAAAACAATAATGTAGAAAAAAGGGAAACAGAAGACACCAAAAATGACATGTAAAATCCTAAGTCGAAGTAAATCTACAACACCATAAAGACAAAAAAAGACAAATGAATGACGTTAAGACAAACACATTTTCAAAACACTACATAAAATCATAGATATAATAGCCATATCTATGGCTATTATATCTATGATAGAACCATTTAGATTGAGCATTACAAACTTCACAAGTAAAAGTTTGATATCTAGAAGAGTAAGCATATACTAGTACATGTATCTTATTCACCATCATGTGAAACTTGTGGAATTAACATTTCTCATTGAAAGTACAAATTGGGTAAAAAGTCTCACTAGGGTATAAACTAGTTGATGAAAAGTGTTGTTTTTTATATCTGTATTTGTATAATGAATTACCATTGCAAAACAATATCCATCATTCATGAAGATATGGTTCCTTTAGCTACAGTATTAATGTTTGCTTTGAATGATTCAGTCATGTTCATATTCATATTGTGTCGTCATTTAATTTCAGTCAATGGAAATACAGGGAATCCAACACCCTAGCTGACTTTGCAATTTTTCATACAGACTATGAAAACAGTATTCTTTAATTCTTTAAAACCTTGTAGTTTTGTTACAAATTACTTTTCATCCACTATATGCATGAATGAAAGAAGGTAAGATATCAAAGTTATAATCAAATAGTTATTATTTTTTAACTGGTGAGAAAAGTTGTATGTAATATTTCATGCATAATATTCTTCCTGTTATTGACTTACAAATGTAACTCTGTCTCAAACATTAGATCCATAGATGATTAAATGAATTGAATTAAAGTTCAAAGAATACAAACAAATGCACATGTACATAAACATACATTAAAATATTGTCTATTATTAACATTCCCGAGTTCTCAAAATATTTTTTTAGCCTACAACTATTGATCATTTTTACAACACAGACTTAAAATCTTGTGGTCTCAGTGAAATTCAGTCATGTATTTGAAGATTATTTGCAGATTTTTTTTTCATACTTTTTACATGTAGGTGTAATTAAGATTGAACCAAATTGCATGTAAAAATGTGCTTGAACAGTTCCATATCAAATATTGATGTACTTTGTAATCATCAGCTATACTAAAATACCAGACAGTCTAAAATAAAAGAATAAAACCACCACAAACTTTTTAATAGTTTGCAATCAGGACTACAACAACACTGACCTCTTGATTTTTGGGGTCCAGACTGACAGGACTGCCACTTTTTAAGAACACTACATGTATCATTGATGATTTCAATATAAATTTTTAGGTTGAAATGCTTTTGTAAAATTTACACATGTATGATGAAGCATAAATAATGCATTTTTTTTTCAACTATTTTGATATCCTCAATAAAATGAGATGTGTTATTGTCAATAGACATTAATATATAATTCACATTTACATTGTACTTTTAAATTGCATATTGTATTTTTGCCTTATATTGGAATTTTTTGTCAGTACATGCATTACATTATAATTTTAGGTTAGAAAGGAAAACTGGTGAAGATGAAGGTTATAATTGTGATCTACATACTGATAAATTTAAAATAGATTTTGTTCTAAAGAGGAGAATAAATAAACATTGTGTTTTATAAAGATTTTCAATTACTAACATAAAAACAAAAATAGTCATTGTATGAGAGGAAAATGGATAGAAGTGTAAATAAAGACACTTTATCATGCAATCGACCTTTCTACTGTATTAATACAGGTGTACAGATACCACGAGCGATAAACGTATACTAGTCGTTTGTAGTCTCCTGGTATCCTGTTTCTGTTGCAAGGGAACTGTTATGTCAAATTACAGTTTACATCATAGTTCAATTTGGGGTCCTCATTGCGGTCCGCGTTTAAGTCATGTCGATTTCATTCAAAAACAAATTCAACGATTGGGATGGGAAAAAAATGTACATTATTAATTGCAGGATAAAGACAATAACTGTTTAGTGTCTTTAAATATCAGCTGTATTTGTACTCGGCTCGAAACAGGAGTAATAGCTAGATGAAGTTCACATTACACCTGTTTCTTAGCCTCGTACAAATACAGCTGATATTAAAAGACTCTAAACAGTTATTGTATATTTATTATCTTTTTCTAGCCACACCTTTTAGTAAATAGCTATAAATAGCTACATTACCAATCTCCAGCTACTATTTTTTGAGCCTTCTATCCAAAATATTTGCAATCTTTTATAATCTTGTTCAAGTTGGTGGTCCTTATATTGGTAAATGTATCTGGTGCTGGCAGGTGTTTTTGTTGTTTGTTTTACATTTAAGACACACGGTCCTCGTATAGGCAAAGGATAAAGTTTGTATGCAGATAAAACTGGTTTATCCCTGTCACATTGTACATCTTGGTGTTTTTATAAGTGTAGTGGTTTTTGTTGGTGTAAAATCAGGACCCCCCACACATCTGTAATACAAGTTTCAAACAAATAACAATTAATATGACCAATAGCAACCAATACCAACCACTGCTTTTTTCACTACTTACTAAGAACAGGGTCATACAGAACGTGGTGGGCTTACACATATTGTAAGTGTGAAATTCTCCCCTAACCTGTGACGGTGTAACAGCTTAACATTTAAGAACAAACAGTTCTCACATAGAAATGTCTCACCCTTATGATAAATAAAAATATGTAGTATGATTGCCAATCATGAATGAGACAACTCTCCACCAGAGAAGATATATTATCCAACGAATCTACTGGAAAATAACTGTCATTCATGTCCCTGCATGCAAAAGCTTTAAAGTCGATAAACAATGACAGAAAGGGCTGGGCTAAAAAATCTTGGAATTTAGATGTGCTTCAGCTAATACACCAGATGCAGATCAAGGATTTTGAAAAAAGGGGGCGGGGCAGGGGCCCCAAGCTATACAAATTTTGGAGTGGAACCGGTAAAAATCTGGATTAATCATAAATGTAGCTCTTTAAGAGGGGGCCCGGGCACCCTAACTTCCCCTTTTATTCCACCTCTGACAAATGTATCCCAAATATCATCGACATACGACTAGTGGTTCCCCTTTAAAAAAACATTGCTGACCCTGCAGCTGGAAACAACAAATAAGAAAAACATAACACAGATAAGTAGGCATGATATCAGGGATAACATCAACTTCTTTTATTTCTCGTAACATGCTTAAGAAGCTTCTGTATGATATCTGCCTCATAAAATTAAGGGAATGCGATTGTCAAGTAAAGGGCACAGTTGGTTAACGAAGAAAAGTCAAGTGTCAGCATCTTTGGTTGAAATACATAAAAAAAACATTAAACATGCCTATGATTTTTCAAGATATCCTCTTTTTTCAAGGGTCATGGGAGTGAATTTTTGGTATCCAAGTGAATTGGAAACTCATAATTCCTGTATCCGTAGTGATTTGCAAATATATACGATATTGAAAGGTGTTTCGTCGGGAGCGAACGATAACATTTATTATGAAGCAACACCTGCGTCTATAAAGATAAATGCTTGGGTAATAAACAACAAAGGAACAGAGGTCTGTTCTTGATGTGAGCAAATGAAGGTTGGGTATATTTTAAAACTCACAAAACACGTAAAATCTAAATTTAGAGGTAATGAAGACTATTTTATAGACGGTGCCTGTTCTTTAGGTCAAGCTTTAAATCGACATAATTTAAAAAAGGTTATTTTTTCATCAAAGATCTGAAATCAAGATTTTATATACAGAATATTCACCCCTTTTCCAGTTTGGTTTCATTGAAGGAATGGGATAATATTAATACTTGCTAATTAAAAAGTGGCATCCTTGATCATCCTTGCCAAATATATTTTCCTGAAAGTATGTGCATTACAATTTGCCATTCAGTGAACAATGTTGAAAGTAAAGTAGCCAATTTGCAATATATGAGAGGTTCTTCCCATTAAAACATTACTAATTGGACAAGTTTTAAGGAGAGGATAATTAAATGAAATACGAAATTTCAATTATATCAAACCACTGTATACTTGCATAATTATATACATTCTGGAATCGTCTAGTTGTTAAGTTGTCAATATAGTGTATTAAAAAGAACACAGAATAAATAGTAAAATACTGAAAGATGTGAAAAATGTGGTAACAAAAAAGAAGTTTTGACTTTAGAATATTGCAGTGCTAGCTAAAATTTAATGAGAATCTCAGAGCCTTCAAAAATTATATAATACCACTACAATTAATCCCCTTTTTATCCAACATATTTGAGCGCCCACATTAAATCGCATTCTTTTGTCATTGCTTTATATGGAGGCGGAGCATCATTTTCAATTTGCAAGGGCTTTCCAATGCAGAAACTATCTGGTTCAAAACAAGACATTGACATTTTTGTCATTTTCAAATCTTGAAAATGAATTTAATCAAATTAATGCAAACACGAGGATGCAGTGGTACCCGATACCCGAAATCAAAATTATGTAAAAGCACCGATTTTTGTGTGTGTAAATTTCTTGTTGAATTTTAATTCAACAGAAACAATCTTGTATATCATCCGCGTTGGAGAAAATTTGATAGTTGTAAACTAAGATATTTAGAATCAAACATTTAAATTTACCCCCCCTCCCACCCCCTTATTTGATTTTAAATGGGGAGGGGATTGTTATTTTGTTTGTTTGTTTTTAAGCTGTCAGTGGACAAAAAGACATTAATTTAAGAAATAATAGGAACAAGCAAACAATCGGTATTTTTATTCTAGGCTAATTTTCATTAAAATATAAGAAACAAACTATTTTCTTCAAATAAAAATGAATGGTCAGCGATAAACGAAAATCAATTACCAATGCATTCGTATTTTAAAAAAAAATTTATTCCGGGAGTTATTTCCTTCATGGCTTACACTGAAACATTTTCAATAAGATTCTCCCCTCTTTTTATGATACTCGTGTGCTTTGAGACGCACGAGCACGTGACAATGATTTGTTATCCTATTTTGGAGTTGTAGAAGAAGACCCCAAATAGGCTGTCAAGGGTTCATACACTTGTCAGGAGTTTACAAAATAAAAACACCAAAAAAACCAATCGAATTCGCAGGATAATTTATCGGTGCGTTTGGAGTTTATGTCTCTGAACTATGTAAAATCTAGATATTTCTGAAATAAATCCGCCATTGTCTGAATATCATCTGAAGCGAGTTAGCCTCCCCTCTCTATGATTTCCCCTAACGAGTAGCAGCTAAATTAAATGTTTTGACAGTCTGTCAATATCAATGTACTATCTTTGTGCTAATATAGGTTATCTGTAAGCATTAGATTGTACTAGGATAGATGTTCAGATCACATCTTCTAGAATAGTGCCATTTGTACTTGAAAACCAAAGACATGTAGTTTATAAGGTTTATCAAAAGGAATTGAAAAATATGGCCGTTTTTACACCACAAAATCTACTATGAGTACAGATAAGCTGATGCATCTAGGAACGTTTTAATGCATGGAAGGACCTAGATATATAAAAGTTATATGTAGTCTATGTTCCAGAAAACTGATAACTTACCCGGATTTTGATGTGCATTTTTTTCCAGTCTGCAAAAGATAGCAAAATAAACAAACTCATTAGTTTCATTTGAAACGGTCCACTCAGTTACACAGTTTAAGGTTCCACTAAAGTCAAAATATAGGACACTTCATAAACATCTAAACTTTGCCTGTATTTTTCAACCTATAATGAGTAAAGTCCTAAACTATGAGAACATATGTTCATTTAAACAT